CTTTCTAGTCTTCCGAGCACTCAAAGCGCTTACACTACGTGCCACATTCACCATTTCACACACATTCAACCAGTAATGGCAAAGCCCATCAAACAGAAACGCATCCGTACACATTCACACACCGATGCACAACAAGAGCAATTTTTTTTTCCCGATCCCCATTTAATATCTGTTGATACTGAGTACTGAATTAGTACAGAATTTGTTATTTCAGTGCAGCCTTTACCTGAGTTACCTGAATGAACTGTATTCTCTGTGTTTATTTCCTCGTCTCTACATCTTTTGCATGGATTACATTAATAAATAAGTTTTATTTGCTTTCTGTTGGTGGGGCTTTTGTTGTACTTGCAGTGGCGTTGTGAGTATGCAGCTCTCTCTGTCTCGCCTCTGACCTGCGCACACACACAGCATAGCGACAGAGACACAGAAGAGAGATTTGATGAAAGAACACTGTGCACGAAAGGTTTTGACATGTTCTTCTTCCTGTGGCTTTTAATGCCTGAATACATGTACCGGTAGGCTTATTTGTTGCATCGTCAATATCATGTCAGCATTCAAGTGCAATGCAAATGCAGTACAAATCCAAAGTGTTTACTTTCAATTCTTGCCAGTCACTTTACAAGTCCAAAGCAGTCCAGCGTTTTCATGCAGGGGCTTTGTATCATATGACATGATTTAAGACCCTTTGCACGTTCCAGATGTGATATGATAATGGTGAAAGTGAAATGGAGTGCTAGCCTGGATATAGGAGTTTTTTGGGTGTAGTTTTTTCCATTCGATTACATTGACATTTGCCATTGTCAGTAATGTTGCATTTGGTCTGTTATATGTGTGCATGTCACTCAGATAAACTCAATTCTACATTTGAGCTTGTCTTCCTGTTCTGAGCAGGTCCTGCCATGGTCAGCCCTTTTCCGGTTTTCATTTGTCCCTGTCGTGGATGGCGATGTTCTGCCCGACACTCCAGAGGCCATGCTCAACTCAGGCAACTTTAAAGATACTCAGATCCTGCTTGGGGTCAACCAGGACGAAGGCTCATACTTCCTGCTGTATGGAGCGCCGGGCTTCAGCAAGGACAATGAGAGTCTCATCTCCAGAGAGGACTTCTTGGAAGGTGAAGCTCACTCAGCTGGAAAGAACGGATCGATACAAAAAAATACTGTAAAATTGTGTTCAAGAAAAGTAATAGATATGGCCAGCGTTAGATGAAACATATGATCACCATGAAACCAAAGGGAAGCAATAGTTTATAAACTGTTTATATCAATGTGAAATTCGCAGAGAGAGTTGTCGAAGTCACCACTAACAAATTTAACCCAATTTTTTTTTATCAAAATCACCTAAAAACTTTACACTTCACTGTTCTAGGTGTCAAGCTGAGCGTACCACATGCTAACGATATTGGCCTGGAGGCAGTGGTACTGCAGTATACTGACTGGATGGATGAGAATAACGGAGTGAAGAACCGCGATGCCATGGACGACATTGTGGGCGACCATAACGTCATCTGCCCGCTGGCTCACTTTGCTCGCTCCTACGCTCAGCACAGCGCCCTCAAGGCTAACATGGGCGGAGGCGGCTCTGGGGCGACAAACAGCGGAGGAAACGCACAGGGTAAGATAACCTCATTTAGAGGTTAAAACAAAGACGGATATTAATATTAAATACTTAAACTGTCTTAAATGTCCAGTACATTTGGCAGAACTGCTTCTTGTTCAACCTACTGCGAAATACAATCATGCATGCACAGGGCTTGTAGACATGCAAATGTGGACAGATGGTATGGGTTGCCACGTAACGATGCCGTTACAGTTAGGGGTACCTTGCTTGAGGGCAGCTACCAGTCCACGGTCCATACTGTGTATCGTGCTGGACTTGAATCAACGACCCTCTGGTTCCTAAAGCAAAATCACATAGTTTTACAGCATCAAAGATGCTCTATGAGAGTTTTTTAAATTGTACCAGTGTCTTGAGTGCTGATGTCAGACCATTGCTGTAGACAAAAATTAACCACTGGGGCTTTTCTCATACTGCTCCTCAAGGAGGGGCCTACCTCTACCTATTCGACCACCGAGCATCCAACCTGGCCTGGCCGGAGTGGATGGGTGTGATCCACGGCTATGAAATCGAGTTTGTCTTCGGCCTGCCGCTGGAGAAGAGACTCAACTACACCCTGGAGGAGGAGAAACTGAGCCGACGCATGATGAAATACTGGGCTAACTTTGCACGAACTGGGTGAGGCATCACTGACTGAAAAGATTTAATCTGCTATGTACTTATTAGCTATAATGAGCCGCAGAGAGAGTAGAGTATACCAGAGAGGAAAGACCAGTCCATTTTGATTAAGTTGCTTAGCTGCAGAGTAGATAAGGTGGTCAGTTACAGTCCAGACCAGAATTGCAAAGCACTATGCAAAGCAAACCTCCTTCCATGCAAACATTTTTCACTGTTTAGTTGTGGAGCAGCAACCCAAGTCCAAGTAGTCTAGATAATTATTTTCTTCAGTCAAATCATCAAGTTACTTATGGGGAATTTTATGGCATTCACAGCTGTAATGGGAACGCCATGGGATTGATCCGTCCGTCGGTCAGTCCACTACTTTGGTCTAAACTAAAATATGGATTCGAATGACTGGTGAGCCACGAAAGCAAACGCTAATTGTATTGTTAATATGCAAAATGGTACAAGGATCGCAAAGTGTCACACTGCCCTCAGATTATGAAAAATAATTAGGGACCGAGCCAGCAACGCTGAGCGTCCTAATTGAACACTGCGTCATGTTTCCTTCATCTCCTTCTTACCTATTACTTCCATTATTATTTTTTAACAGCCTTTTTGACTGCGTTTTTGCCGCCCCTTCTGAACATATACCCGAAAACCTCAATTTTATTCTGCGAAGTTCGTCAGCGCCTGGCCTGAACAAATTCTGGACCTTCTCTATGCGTCGCTTTTGGGTCGGCCCATAGGTGGGCGCTACTAAATTGAGGAAAGGAAGTTTGGACCTTTTTTGTTTACCTAATAACTTCTGCAATAGTTCCCTCGTCGCACAATCTCAACCAAACCTCTTATATCCACAGCGCTCTTCGGCTGACATGGAGCTCAACTCTTCCCAATATAGGAACCCCTTCCGCCTCTAAATTTGCTTTT